AAAAACCCTACTTAGTTACTATAAAAACCTTAATATATAACTATAGTAGAGATTTATATCTTTTTAAGTATATTTATCTATATAACTATTTACTATAAGTATTACTTTCCTAACTATTAAGTTAAATACTAATTATACTTCTTATACTTTATTAATTAATAGCTCTCTTAAGAGAAATTTAAGTAACTATACTATAACTTTTTAACTTATAACTTTACTACTAAAAGCCTCTATAATATATATCTTATAATATATAATAAAGTAACTAGCTAGAGTAACTAGCTATAATATATATTAACTAAGATATAGATCTCTAGTAGCTATATTACTATTAATAAAAATATAATATAATACTAAAGTAGATACTTTAATATTTAATATATAAAAGGTAAGCTTATACCTATTAGCTTTAAAGTATAAGTAATTAGAGAAGTAGAATATTTTTTTTACTAATTTTAATATATAAATTAAAGTCTCTTTATATTACTACTTATATATTTACTAATTAAACTTAAGTAGTTAGCCTTTATAAAAGCTATTATTACTTATTTAGTCCTTATTTTACTATAGCTACTAAGGTATTAATAATAATATTACCTATTTATTAATAACTTATTTATTTTAGTTAACCTATTATACTACCTCTACTATTATAATATTATTACTATAAATATATACTATAATACCTAGTTTAGTAATATCTATACTACTCTAAATAAGCTTAAAAAGTATAATAATTACTTTAAGAAAGTACTATAAAATACTATCTTCTATAAACTAACTAATAATAATATAGTTTACTAGCTATTTTTTAAAGATAGCTTACTAATATTAATAGCTACTATTAGCTTTAATAGATATAAATATACCTTCTTAAAGCTCTATAAGAGGTTTAAGAGTAATATAACTTATACTAATATATTAAAAATACTATTTAAAGTTTATAATACTACTATAAGTAAAGTTACTATCTACTATATAAAAATACTACTCTTCTCTTAGTTTTACTATATATATAACTAATTTATAAATACTATTAATATTAATAACTAATATAAAGCTAATAGCTATTATAGTAGATATATATACTATAATAGCTACTAAATATTAAATTTTAACTTTAATTTACTTATTAATATTACTAATACTTTCTTAGCTTTCTATAAAGCTTAATATAATACTTATAATTATAATAATACTAATAATTAGTTTTATTAGATATAAGCTAAGTTTTAATAAGCTCTCTTTAAAGAAATTATTACTATATATAGCGAAGATATTATTATAAGTTAAAGGTTTTAAACTATAAAAAAAGATAATTTAAGCTAACTAAATTATATTATTTTATTATTAATAGCAAAGAGGTAGTATATCTAATACTCTATAGTATATAAATATAAAATTCTTAGTAAAAAAGCTCTAAATATATCGTTTAATAACTATTAAATAAACTATAAGTATTAGAAATACAGTATAGTATTATATAAATATTATTAAGATACTTAATATACCTATAAAGAGGTTAAGTAAGGTTAAGCTAGGATAGGAATAATTTATAACTTAATATAACACTTTAATTAGACACCTCTATAACTATCTTATATATTATAAGTATCTTTTTTAGATATACTATAGAATCTGAGAGCCTCTGCTGACTAGCTGCTCCTAGCAGGAGCCAAAAGGTCCATATCTCAGGTCCCAAGGAGATGAGCAGAGCTTGGGGCTCTCAGGGCTCCGTGCCAGGCATGTTCCACCACAAACAGTCTAGGGAGTGCCTGCCCGTATCTGTTTCGGTTGTCTCGGCGTCGCAGGGCTGGCTGGTGTTCTTCCGGATGTGATCCAAAATTAGGTTCTGGGGGTTACGGCGGTTTTCGGACGAAGACTGTTTTATGTGCTGCAGCTTGCATGCTTGGTGACAGACGGACAGAGCTTAGGGATGGATGGAGGCTGCTGCTGTTGGCCACTGCTTGGGACAAGGGCGGGAACCCTTCCTTGCTTTGACGAATACAAGAAACTTCAACCCTTTCCGATATGGGTTTGATGCTAGAATTTCTGCAGAGGAGAACATAATTACTGCGAAATATCAAATAGAAGGAATGAACGATGAGTGGCTGATCGTGAAGCTCAGTCTGTCCACGCGGGAAGAATGGCGCTTTGTCTCGGAATCATGGCCGTATCCCATAGCTACCTCTGTTTGACCGCTGGGGTCAAGGAGCCGTGAAGAAAGCCGGACCAGCATCGCGGGTTCTATGCTGACGACACCTGCGCATGCTAAATTTCAACGAGGAAGATGCAGGTAGGGCGAGAATGAGGCTTGTGTCGTCGACCTGCTGGCAGTCGCGTTATCGCGTTGCTCATTGCAACGGGGTCAAGCCGAATACGCCTTCGCGGATGGCCAGTAAGCTCGATATCAATGTCAAAGCTGAAGTTTGCTTAGACATGGCTCCGATCTCGCCCAAACTCATGAACATGGACAAATGTGTTCAGATTTTCTGCCAGCTAGCCATCGGTTAGCAATTGTCGCTGTGACCCTCCCCTCCAAGTGCTTCGCTTCGACAGACCTGGCCCTCGGGACGTCGGGTTCGGAACTGCATAGCAGCCAAGACGGCCACGAACGCTTGCTGATAGTGAAAGGTCATGTTTGCCATGTTTTTGCAAGCCTCACAAGGCAACCCCACTCGCCGGGTTTCTCGTGTACATGAGCACCAACAATGGCATGCTGCAGAGACAGAGCCGTATCGTACTCCGTCTCCAACGCCAAGCTTTCCCAAGAACCAGCCGAAAGCCCCGCAGGCTACTTTAGTGAACGGTGGGACGCTGTGTTCGTTGTCGTATCGGAAGTCTTCCAGTGGGACACCCTTCCGCCCAGGTACGCACCCTCAACTGTCTAGGGCCGTTTTCAGTAGCCGCCCCCGCTGCCGTTCATTCTTGACGATGTTGGCAATTCAAATCATGCAGCTTCCGCCGAAGCATGTGCTCATAACTCGTCATCGCGTGGTGCATTCTTCAGCCCACAGGGCGTTCGTATTTCTGAGGGCTGACTGCAGGTCTCAGGGTGCATTTGTCCATCGGCTTCTTCTCTGGCTCCGCTGTCGACTCACTCAGATGCTTCTGATACCGCAGAAACAGAGTTTTTGTCGACCGCCAAAGAGACACGCGGAGAGTATGCAACAAAGCCGAGAATGAAGCCGTAGACGACCACTTAAGCAACCGTCCGCCGCAGCCAATCTCTCTTAAGAAAAAAAATGGTGTAGATAAGCGCGAAACAATTGGTGTTCAAGACCAATCATGCCGGGTTTCTGGATGATGAGGCGATGCGCCATTACGGATCGCCAGCAACTTGACAGATGTCAGAAGCAGGCCCAAGGTACAGACCCGACGACAGTTCCAGTGGAGCGTTGCGCCTGCACGGTATAATATTAGTGGGATACATGACGATAACCACCGCCGTTTGTCTCTGGCAGGCCTTGTCTCGGTGGCAGATCTGCCTACCCGCACATGCATCCACTAACTCGTCGTGGTAACCAAGCAGCGTCGCTTGGTCGAAAAGCTCCGAAGCTAGACCCTGTCGTCTTTCGATCCTTGTGCGCACTGAGTCGAACTCCAAAGTCTGTTGATGTTCAAGATGCTGTAGGCTGCGCCAATTCTCGGCCAGATGAAAAGCAAAATTAAAGCCCATCTCCTCCAACGCTCTGCGTTGCTACCCATCCCATGACAACACGCTCCTCCACTGGTTTCAGGGCTCTGCATCCGGAGGTGACTGGCCATGGCATCCGTACAGTAGCGCCATGCGCTACGGCGCTGCCAGGGGTTATGGGCCAATGAAATAACACTCGTCAAAGTCTCAGTCGAGAGCTTTGCCCGTTGTGGTATCAAAACAGCTGCGTATCAAGTCCATGGAGTTGCGACATGTGCGACTCCTTCTGCCAGGCTGCTGGTTGTCCTCTACCGCGAGGAGGCGATTTGTAATCTGGACAGCAGCTAAACGCCTGGGTATGTCGAAACAAGCGAAGGCGATAATTCAAAGTAACGACGGATGTCAGAAAATCGCTGCCGAAGCGATGAAGGTTATTTTGGTCGCGGGCAAGGTCAAAACTCACGGCCTTCTAACTCTAAGTTGAGAGGAAACAGCACAAGGTGAACTTGTGCAAGGCTGTGGTTCCTCGAGAGTTCCTTGCCTCTGCGGTGTTGTGAATTCCCTTCCAGCAACGTCTCGCGTATCCTGCAGTTCAGCAAGGCCAATCCTTGGAAATTACCAGCCGCGACACTGTTCAGTACCTCGAGTACCCTCAATAGTTGCCCAGAAGGTTAGGTGTGGTGAGAATGGTGTCCCTCGGTGAAATGGTTGTACGTCACCGTGGTGTGACTTGAAATGCCCATGATAGTGTGAGTCTGGAGAGAGAGAAAGAGAGAGACACACGCGGCGACAGAGCTGGATAAGATTTCAGTGTTCTTTTCCTGTCTTTGTCGGCCCTGCGTGGACATCTCAGGTGGAGTCAGCCTAAGTCGGACATGAATGTCGTCCGTTGTTTCAATACTACCCAACCTCCGCGTGTGCCATTTCCCCGCGAAAGATAAGTCGGCATACCGGCCGCGTACCTCCAGCAGTCGTTGCACGAGGGTTGCGTTCAAGCACAAAGAGTTGTTTCGGTCCAAATGCCAGGCATCCTCCTACGCACAGAGCAAGACTGATGATTGGCCTGCATCGACGAGTGTCGTCCGCAGTCCTACATCCTCGTGCTTTGGAAAGGCAACAGAGTACACTTGGGAGCATTATGACTGGACCCTTGCAGACCGGGTCCGGATAAAACTTGGTGTGGACGGTGTGGCTGTTCACACGTTGACAAAAGAATTGTGTTGACCCAGATATGCGACGAGGAGCGGATGGCAGGACAAACCGGGTGTCACCAATGAGCCGCAGAAAACAGTGTTGACTACCGGGCCGCGCCTGGAGGAAAACTCAAAATCTCTTAATTTGCTTGGAGATGACTAGGCCCCCGTCATGTGCAAAACGACGTCCAGGGGCGAGATAATTGGAGGCATGTATCGCCATACATAGATCTACTAGTAGATATTCGTCACAAAAAGCATGTGAACGACGAGGTGTATGCAACATACCTCGAAAGTTTTTCCCCAGAGCAGCTGAAGCGCTTTAGGCTTGTCTCCGACAGCATTGATCTTAAGTCCGAGAGCTGTTGTGTTGAAGATTTGATCTAAATCAGTGAAGGCAAAACTGAAGCTGAGGAATAACTTGCAAGTAACCAAGCCAAGCCAGCACAAGGATGGCTGCGCACCAAGAGAGGCTGGTGTTGGAACAACACTACAGCATGGTGCTCGTAGCCAGTGGCAATTGCGGGTGTATGATATCGGCATTAGAAAGAACCAGCCAGCGGTACCGTTGCGCAGCCACAGTCAACGATGCTTTGTCCCGTGTCTCGCATCTCGCATCTTTTCAGAGTTGCTGTTCGAAAGATTTGCTTATGAAAAGTTCCGGGTTTTGCAGAACGGACGTTTTGCCGAAGGCTTAGGCTCGAAGGTAGCGGGAGTTTACGGTAATAGAAGGCTTGTTTGCGGACGATTGGACGTTCATTTCGGATGATTCTGTATTGTTGTGGTGCTCCTGGAGGTCAAAGTCAGCAAAAGCAGTCGAATAATGTTGATGAGGTACGTCGAGGTCGTGTGGGCAGCTCATATCAGCCTCCGTCGACTTTGCGTAGGCGTGAGGGAGAAAGGCACGTACAAGGAGCAGCAAGAGAGTTCGGCAGGGATGGCAGGGTGCGTCGAACGGCGCGCACCCATCTTCAAAGAGACAGAACCCACCCAGATATCCTGTTTCGGAAAGGCGCAGACCGGAAGGCGGCTTGTGAGCTAGCGGACAGGGAAGCAAGGCGCTAGGGCTGCATTGGGCAAGGGAAGGTTCTGCTGGCGTGCAGGTGTGCCGCATTCTCGCAAGCGTCGACGAGGTCGAAGTCGAGGTCAAGGTGTAAGGTGACAAGGTCAAGCCCAGCAGGTCGAGGTCGAAGTTCGGGCTGTGGTTGAGGTCTCTTGGCCACCCTCTCCCCCAAGGACGGGAGGTTCCAGCGTCCCACGCTTCTTGGAGGTGGCTACGGCCCACCTTCCACCTTCCCCGCCGCCGCTGCGTGGCATCGCCCTTCTTCTCGGGGTTGACACATCACATGTGCCTGGGAATAAGTCAGAACAAGAACAGTCTTTGCTGTAGAATCATGCGTGGAGATATGTTTCTTAATTAGGCGGACTACTGCCGAGGTTCATCGGCGTCTAACGTGACGTTGAATAAGCGAGAGAGGCTTGCCTCACCTTGTTTCTCAGTGCCTGCCTGCGTCTGGTTCGGGTCCAGGTGGGTGGTGTCGATGCCCGAGCAGCCGATCCGGGTCGAAGGTGAAAGCGACAGAGACTGGAGACTCCGAGCCCTCGTAGCGGGAGCCGGGCAATCGGAGACCGGCAGATCACTGGCAGTCCGTTTTTTCTTAGGGTACTTCTCTTGTCTTGGTGAAGGTACTATGTGTGTTGTTTTTGCGGGCAGGTCGGCCACCGTGGGACCCGTGGGATGTAAGTCCCGTCAGCACAGACGGGAGGGAATGCCTGCACGATGGGCAACCAGTCGTTCCGCGACTGGCTGAAGGAGCTTGCTACCGCTTGCCCGCTCTTGCTGCATACTTCGTACAGAGTACAGATACTACCAACCCGCGCACACTGCGTATTTCACCTAAGGTAGGCAGGAAAGAGAAGGGAGCGCGAGTGCCATCCCTGTCTGGGAAGGCAGGCCGACTTGTTTCTTTCGTCCTGCTGAACAGCAAGCTCAAATTCCTCCATCTCCCGTCGCAGGCTTTCGCCTTCTAGGATCACCCACTAGGCCAACATTCTAGTGTGAGAGTACCTCCTTAGGACCCAAGACATAGACCTTTTAGCTGCCCCCACAGCTATAAGCCTAAAAAAGGATTAGTATACTAGCTAAGCTACGCTACTAGTTAATATACTTATCTTTTATAGTAAAATTAATACTTTTTAAATACTTCTACTTCTATTAAAACTAGTTAGTATTTACTTACTTTTTTTAATAGCTATAAATTAACCTTATTCTTTAACTTTAATCTTCTACTTATTTTACTTATAATATTATTACTATACCTCTATTTATAATATATTAAATTAACTATTATAATAATATAAATAATAGTATTTATTAAGATAATTATTAATCTTATTAAATTATTTAATAATTATAATACTAATTATAATATTATTAATAATTTTAAGAACCTTAATAACTATATTAAATACTATATTCTTATTAGTATTAGTATTATTATAAAACCTTAGTAGTAGCTAGCTAACTATAGCTTAGCTAATAATATTAATATTAATAACCTTAACTTACTATAAGGTTATATATAGCTATTACTACTATAAAATAAATAAAATCTACCTTTAAACCCTTAACTAAATATTCTATATAATAATAGCTTAGTTTAATATAACTTAAGTAATTCTAACTTTCTACTTAATATTTAGTATAATAAAGCCCCTCCTTTATATACTAAGGGTACTTTATACTAAAAACTCCTCTCTACCTTCTTTAAATATAAAATCTACTTACTACTAAGCTTTATACTACTATAGATATAATAATAATATATACTTCCCTAGTTAGTTAAGTAGTAAGTAGATTAAACTAACTAGAAGTTAGAGATATATTACTATATTTATATTAACTTTACTAAAGTTACTAAAAACCTTATTTAATTACTATAAAAGCTTTAATATATAACTATAATAGAGATTTATATTTTTTTAGGTATACTTATCTATATAACTATTTACTATAAGTATTACTTTCTTAACTACTAAGTTAAATACTAATTATACTCCTTATACTTTATTAATTAATAGCTCTCTTAAGAGAGATTTAAATAGCTATACTATAACTTTTTAACTTATAACCTTATTACTAAGAGCTTCTATAATATATACCTCATAATATATAATAAAATAGCTAGCTAGAGCAACTAACTATAATATATATTAACTAAAATATAGATCCTTAATAGCTATATTACTATTAATAAGAGTATAGTATAATACTAAAGTAAGCATTTTAATATTTAATATATAAAGAGTAAGCTTATACTTATTAGCTTTAAAGTATAAGTAATTAGGGAGGTAAGATACTTTTTTTACTAATCCTAATATATAAATTAAGGTCCCTCTATACTACTACTTATATATTTACTAATTAAGTTTAAGTAGTTAGCCTTTATAAAAGCTATTATTACTTACTTAGTCTTTATCTTATTATAGCTACTAAGATATTAATAATAATACTACTTATTTATTAATAACTTATTTACTTTAGTTAACTTATTATACTACCTCTACTATTATAATATTATTACTATAAGTATATACTATAACGCTTAGTTTAATAATATTTATACTACTCTAAGTAAGCTTAAAAAGCATAATAATTACTTTAAGAAAGTATTATAAGGTATTATCTTCTATAAGCTAACTAATAATAGTATAGTTTACTAACTATTTTTTAAGGATAGTTTATTAATATTAATAGCTATTACTAGCTTTAATAGATATAAATATACCTTTTTAAAGCTTTATAAAAAGCTTAAAAGTAGTATAACTTATACTAATATATTAAGAGTACTATTTAAGGCTTATAATACTACTATAAATAAGGTTACTATCTACTATATAAAAATACTACCTTTTTCTTAGTTTTACTATATATATAACTAATTTATAAATATTATTAATATTAATAACTAATATAAAGCTAATAGCTATTATAATAAATATATATATTATAATAGCTATTAAATACTAAATTTTAACTTTAATCTACTTATTAGTATTATTAATACCTTCTTAGCCTTCTATAAGGCTTAATATAATACTTATAATTATAGTAATACTAATAATTAGTTTTATTAAATATAAGCTAAGTTTTAATAAGCTCTCTTTAAAGAAATTATTACTATATATAGTAAAAATACTATTATAAGTTAAAGGTTTTAGATTATAAAAAAAGATAATTTAAACTAGCTAAATTATATTATTTTATTATTAATAATAAAGAAGTAGTATATCTAATACTCTATAGTATATAAATATAAAGTTCTCAGTAAAAAAGCTCTAAATATATTATTTAGTAACTATTAAATAAGCTATAAATACTAAAAATATAGTATAATATTATATAAGTATTACTAAAATACTTAATATATCTATAAAGGGGTTAAATAAGGTTAAGCTAAAATAAAAATAATCTATAGCTTAATATAATACTTTAATTAGATACCTCTATAGCTATCTTATACGCTATAAATATCTTTTTTAGATATACTATAGAGTCTAAGGGCTTCTACTGACTAGCTACCCCTAGTGGGAGCTAAAAGGTCCATGTCTCAGGTCCCAAGGAGACTTACCTAGGCAGGTACCTCGCAGAGCCGCGTCCTCCCTCACATCAACAGAATTCTTGATCACGCAATCATACGCGTCGGGAGACAGAGGGAGAGAAAGCTGAATTTGGCGATTATTAAGACAGGAAGTCTAAATCCTACCTCATGCACTTCTTGCGCGACTGGCACCGTGACTCACACGGAGTCGCAATCCACTGCCACTGCTTCCTGTCTCCCAGCCAGCAAGTGTGCCCAAGTAGCTTCAGCATCAGAGAGGACAGTGTAACACAGCTCGGGAATTCCTTGCGTATACTGACCAGACTGCCGTCTTCTGCTTGACCATCCATTCCGACATGCAGAACCCTAGGTTTGCAGATATTACCATGTCATGGGTGCGGGTGCGCTGCTCGCCTGCATGCGATGCGGCTTATCATGGGTTTCAAGTCTCATGAGGTAGTATGATTATCAGTCCCGTCGAGCCGTTGAAGAGCAACATTGGCAGCCGGATTATGCAGGAGGTGAAGCGGACTGGAAATGATGCGAGTCTGATACTGGCAGAAAAGCTGACCAGAAGTGTCGGAATAGACTCGAGAGCTAGGGATGTGTCTTCTTTGAACTTGACCGCAGGCGAGGCACAGACTGGCCCGCACGAACTCAAATAAGGGTTCAGGTTCAGGCTCTCGCTGCGGCGGATGGCAGACTGTCTGGCGTGCCGCCGTGGATGCCACTCCAGAAACCTCAGGGATCTTGGCAGTCGAACGAGGGGCACCACGGCACACCGCACTCCGAGATCTCTGGCTCTTACCAATAACCAGAGCCCACGGCTCAAGTACGCACCACACAACTTCCCATGTCCCCGTCACCGCGAACTGCACAATGACGATCCATGATGTATGTTGCAGTGGGGTAGAAAGCCACTGCGTCGTTGATGGACGTGGA